TGACAGAATGCAGGGAGGCGTCCTTTGTGACCACAGCACGGAAGCGACCATTTTCTCTGCCCAAACGGCAGTGCCTGCTTCTTCCCCTAAGGCCAGAGGAGAAAAGAGAATTTTGGCAATAGCAACAGAAGAAGAACGACAGATTCTGCTACCAGAATCTGGGCTGTCATACGGCAGCAAAAAGACCCCGAGCCGTGGTCCCACTTCCCCAGCTCTAGGAAAAAGGAGCCTCCCTCCTTCCCCTCGGCTTCCCAATTCCAATTCCCCTTCTCCTCTGCAGCCCGCTTGCCTTCCTTGGACAAAGCCCAATCCAGAAATCCTCACCTCACCGTTAAGCCAAGGATGGTTGTGCAAATGTCAGCCTCCTCATCTCATTGTTTGCGGATCCGTTTCATGCTGGTTCCCCTGAATGTTCAGCCTTGCACAGAGGAGAGAAAATTTGCTGTGTGCTGCTTCCTCCCCCACCCCCGTCCCCGGCCTGGTGTAACAGTGGCGGAAAAGCCACCGTGTCAGTTTCTGTGGCTCGCTATCCAGTCATGGCACCTCAGAGAAGAAAACAGACTCCCCCCCTCACATTAACAAACGGCTTGAAGCCCTCAGGAAACCCAGAAGCAAGGCCTTCAGCCTGAGGCAGTATTCAGCCGGTTCAGACCGGTTCAGGCGAACCGGTAGTAGCAACCTGCAGGAGGGTCTGCCCCCGCCCTGCTGCCCCGACGGCATGCCGTCCTATTTAGCCACGTTTTCTAAGCTGCGTGCAAGCTGCGCGCGCAAACAAAGAGCATGCGCAGAGGCGCACATGCACATTGTTGATGCTGGGCGAACCGGTAGGTAAATTATGTGAATCCCACCTGTGGCCTGAGGTCTCCTCTCCCTGTTGGTGGCCTCCAGTACTGCTAGTCCTCGACTTACAAACATTCGAATAGAATAGAATGGAATAGAATAGAATAAGAATAGGAATAAGAATAGAATAGAATAGAATAGAATAGAATAGAATAGAATAGAATAGAATAGAATAGAATAGAATAGAATAGAATAGAATAGAATACTTTATTGGCCAAGTACAATTGACAAGGAATTTGTCTTGGTGCGTGCACTCTCAGTGTACATAAAAGAAAAGATACGTTCGTCAAGAATCCTAAGGTACAACACTTAATGATAGTCATAGGGTACAAATAAGCAATCAGGAAACAATATCAATATAAATTGTAAGGATACCAGCAACAAGGTTACGGTCATATAGTCATAAGTGGGAGGTGATGGGTGATGGGAACGATGAGAAGATTAATAGTAGTGCAGACTAGTAAATAGTTTGACAGTATTGAGGGAATTATTTGTTTAGCAGAGTGATGGCGTTTGGGGAAAAAAATGTTCTCGTGTCTAGTTGTTCTGGTGTGCAGTGCTCTATAGCAGTGTTTCCCAAACTTTTGACATATGTGTACTCCTATAATTTTCGTAACGCTGAGTACCCCTCGTAAAAAACATATGGTACCCCTGGGGGTACACGTACCACACTTTGGGAAACACTTAGATAACACTGCAATTCTCCGGCGTTTAAACAGCTCCGCGGCTCAACGTCAACTGTTAATGTTCCCGCAGTTTAAAAATGGCCGAACCCGAGCTGCGCGAAGGATGCGCAGAAGTTCCCGCCATAATGAGTTGCGATATGATGTACAATGGCCCCAGTTCCTGTGTAAAAACTGCGATACACGCCTATTTCTTTCCTTGTTCTGTGGGCGCAGCTAAGCACGGTGCAGTGGATATTCCCACGTGATCCCCACCAAACTCCGGTGCAACGCGTACCCCCACCAAACTCTTCCCGTACCCCTGGGGGTACTCGTACCACACTTTGGGAAACACTACTCTATAGCGTCGTTTTGAGGGTAGGAGTTGAAACAGTTTATGTCCAGGATGTGAGGGGTCTGTAAATATTTTCACAGCCCTCTTTTTGACTCGTGCAGTATACAGGTCCTCAATGGAAGGCAGGTTGGTAGCAAGTTTAGTGACCATTCAAAATTACAGTGGCCCTGAAAAAAAGTGACTTATGACCGTTTCCCACACTTAACGACCATTGCAGCATCCCCATGTTGGTGGTGCAATCAAAATTCAGCCTCCATTAGAGTTGAGGTAGGAAGTCCTCAATGTACGACCACAATCGAGCCCCGACATTTCTGTCACTGAGCAAGACGGCTGTTAGAACTGAGTTCTGCCCCCATTTCACGACCTCGCTTGCCACCGTTGTCAAGCGAATCGGCTCAGCAGTTAAATTAGTAACACGGTTGCTAAGTGAATCTGGGTTCCCCGTTGGCTTCGCTCGTCAGAAGGCCGCAAAAGGCCATCACGTGACGTTGGGACACCGCAGCCGTCATAAATACAAGTCAGTTGCCAAGCAGCTGAATTTTAATCGCGTGACGGTGGGAATGCTGCAACCGTCGTAAGTGTGAATAACAGTCCAAAGTTACTGTTTTTCAGTGACGTAACTTCGAATGGTCTCTAAACGGGTGGGTTCTAAATTTTTTTATTACTGGTTCTGTGGGCGTGGCTTGATGGTCATGTGACAATTATTTAGGATATCATCATATCGTCACCGCTACCGGCTTGGGAGAACCGGGCCGAACCGGGAGGAACCCACCACTGTCGCTAAATGAAACTGTTGTAAATTGAGGACTACCTGTATTCTTGTCCCAATCAGGTAGTCCTCAACTTACGACCATAATGGAGCCCACAGTTTCAGTTGTTAAACGGATCACCACGTCCAATTTTGGTTGTAAGTTAAGGTCTACCTGTATTCAGGGACACGCGATGCATTTAAGCTGGTTTAGTTGAGGTTTTTTATTCTTTTGTGGCTGGGCTAACTTCTTCTCTGAAGGGCTTGATCTCCTCCCAGGTAAGATTTCAGAGTGCAGGACCTGATTTTTATTTTTTAAAGCTTTGGTCCTTCTTCCCCGCCCCACCTGGACCAAGGGACCAAAGAGGCAGAAACCGATATCTCGCCCCCTCACTCCTGTTTGCCGATGATGGATGGAAAACAAAAATTAATGCTCAAGGTGAACACACAGTACTAAGACAAGGGAGCATTGCTGACTCAGCGCAAAGCAGGACGGGTGTCATGTGCGACCGTGTGTGTGTGTGTGTGTGTGTGTGTGTGTGTGTGTGTGTCCTTTGCAGCATCAGCAGTTGGAAGGATGCCTAAGGCTTAGAAGGGGGAAATGTTGGAGTGAGCGGCCACTAGGAGGCGCTGTGCGGAAGGTTGGCCTTTGGCCATGGGACCACTTTGATTTATCTACTTATTTTTTGCTGGAGGCCCAATGAGGATTCACAGCTAAAGGAAAGATGTGCTGAAGTGAAGGGCAGGGAGGGTACAACTGGGTAACCAAGGGCGTAATGGCAGGCGGGAGATGCTCTGTGATGCTGGCAGAAATGGGTGAGTGGAGTTGGGGGGCAGCATTTGGCCGAAGACCCTATATAGGAAGGAGCAAGCGAAATATTTACTATAGGTTACCTCGAGTTTAGCACTACGTCTTAAAGTAAAGCATCCTTTCTTAAAATCTAAACATAAAAGGCTTTCTTTTGTTCTTCCACTTACATAATCGTTACATACAGTAGTTTTGTGTTCCCTTTAGTTGTTTGAGCAGTGTATAAACTACTATATGTAAAGAACAAAGTATTTAATAAGGCTATTTCATTCATTCAGATCTCGGATGTCTTCTGCTTGTGTTCCCTTTATTTTTTTTGAGCAGTATATATATATTATGTTCTCTATCACCTTCAAAGAGGGTTAATTGAAAAAAATTGGGGGAAAAATGCCAGTGGGAGGGGAAATACCACCGATACTTTTCCTATAGCCAACTCTGCAAAGAGTGGAGGGCTGGGATGGCCCCTTCCCTACCTTATTTCCAAGAAAAGGCATTTTTCCAAGGAGCCAATAGAGAGGAGAATGCAGGAAGCAGCCTGCAAAATGATGGATGGGAAAGTCACCGTTTTGGTGTGTCTTGCTTTTCTCTATCAGCAAGGCAATAATGTAGTAATGTTATAGGAGGGGGGAAGGGGGTCTCCAAACTTGGCAACTTTAAGATTTGTAGACTTCAACTCCCAGAATTCCCCAGCTGGCATGCTAATGAATTTTAAGATGTATGGACTTCAAGGGAGAGTGGAGAGCATTGCATTGGAGCAGGAAATTGATATGCTGAAATGCCAGCATGGCTGAACGTATGCCTCAAGAAGACCCCTTCTAGCCCTCAGGCCTCCAACCACCTTTATGATCCTGTCGCTAGTCTCCCTTGCTGAGTTCTGAGATCCGTTTGGTCCAGGGTTTAAGGCATCAGGTTAGGAAGCAGAAGACTGTGAGTTCTAGTCCCGCCTTAGCCAGCCTGGGGATTTTGGGCCGTCCCCTTTCTGTCAGTCCAACTCACCTCACAGGGTTGTTGTTGTTGTGGGGAAAATAGGAGGTGCAAGTAAGTTCACCGCCTTGAGTTACGTATAAAAATAATAAAGGCAGGATATAAACAAACCAGCAAACACACCACTGATGGTGGGGATAACCCTATATTTCTGCCTGGGTTAATTCAAAAGGTAACGAACCAATAAACGGTAGGGGGAAATTAAGGATGCTTTATGTATGCAGGGGAAACAGTGAAGCATGAACCTGTGGTCTAAAGCCAATTTGCAAGGTCCCTGAGAGAGAGAGCAGAGCGCATTGTTGGCAATTCTCAATCTCCTTTGATTCAGCTAAATTTGAAGATCGGGCGGTTGAGCTGCCTCTTGGAAACCCTTTAAAAACACCCATAAACCCTAGCTCCTTCTTGATCTTGCTGCGTGCTCTCCCAATCAGCAAATTGCCTGCTTTTTACCTGGGTTTCAAATATGTCAAGAAGAACCAAATTGCAAGCGCCAGGACCTTCCTTCTATGAGGTCATTCACCTTCAGTTGTCAGGTGCTCATCTACTGAGATGTGTGCCAGGTACTCATGTAAGGGGGGGGGCATCTTTCTATCCTGCTTGCAGGTGGCAGCGCAGGGGCCACGGCCGAACTTTCTCCATGAGGAGGGGTAGAAGATGCCGGCTTTGCCCGCGCTGCTGCTGCTGCTGATACTCGGCTTCACCCACCAGAGCCTGGAGCTGTTGTCCTCTCTGCGCATGGGTGAGTAGAAGACTTTTCCTGTGGGACGACTTGCCTCCGGAAGTTGTGGGGGCTCCGTTTCATTTGTCTGAAAGGGTGTAGGGTCTCCTGCTCGAGCAGTGTCGTGGATCTGGCAGCAGATTTGGACAGTGAGGAGGTTGGGGAGGAACATGGGCCAGTCCTGGAGTCTGGGGAAGGCTCTGAGGAGGGCTCTGCGTCTTGAGGCAGAGAGGGGGCCAGGGCCGTATGCCAGCTATCAGCTGCCTTCGGAGTCAGACATCAGTGAGGCAGCCGAACAGCTAGAGCCTGTTCCCAGTGTGCGCATGCGCAGAGTTGCCAGACGAAGGGAACAGCTAAAGAACAAGGGTCGACTCAGGAGTAAAGCCACAGGTGGCCGATGAATGGCTCCTCCCAGAGGGAATAAAAGAGGAGCGAAAGGGGAGTGGAGTTTGCAGGAGACAATTAGTTCATTCCTGCATTCTTGCCAAGTATTGCGGCATCTGAAAGATATCGGCCTGGCCACTCTCCAAGCCTGATAAAGGTTGGTAATGGTGAACTATCTTGAAAGAGATAGGAAGAGGGAGAGGAAAGACTTTTCTGGAGAGGAATTCACTGTCAATTAAATAAAAGGGGTTTATCGGGATGAAGATTTGGCTTCCTGCTGCTGGGGAAGCCTAGGTCAGAACAAACGGGGTCGGACTAGAACAGGGGTCCCCAACCCCTGTTGGAAACTGGGCCAGGGGAGTGATGGGCAAGCACGCGCACCGTCAAACTCCACTTGGGTGAGTGGAGGGCACTTGCATTTTGCTCAAAGCTCCACCCGTGTGAACGGAATTTCATGTGCGAGCTCCGTCCACTCGCGTGATGAGCTTTGTGTGTGAGCATAAGCTCCTTCCACTCCACTGGTGTAAGTGGGAACTTTGCGCACGAGCGGCTGCCGCTGGCACAAGTGGAGCGTTGCGTGTGAGCGCAAGTACCCTCTGCTTGCGCGCAAAGCTCCATTCACGTGAGCGGAGGGCGTGCACGCTCACAACAAATGGAGCCGTGCGTGCGAGTATGCGCCTGCCACTCACACACCCTCTCCCACTGGTCTGGGCCGTCAAGCTGGAAAAGTTGGGGACCGCCGGACTAGAAGACATCCAAGGTCCCTTCTAACTCTGTTATTCTGAGAGTATTTCAAGATCATTGAGGCTCGTTGAAGCTTGGGGCAGAGAGCCAGGATCTCAGGGAGTCTGAATGTTGGGCATGACAGTGTTATTATCATCCCTGCACCCATTTGGCTCCAGGAAAAATGGCAGAACCTCTGAGTTTTGTACACCTTTGCACAAATTTGGAATGTCACTGCTTCGAGCTGCTTTGCTCTCTAAGCTAGAGACTTTTGTCCAAGGCTGAGGTTAGATTGTGGGTTGTAACACAAAAAAAACAAGGATCTGGGAATTTGCAAGGTTAAAGAAAAAAGACAAAGGATGAGGAAAGTCAGAGCACACGTATTTTGATCCCACTTGATCTGACGTCCTACAGATCAGTGTCTTTCAACCTTAGCATGGCTGGCTTGGGAATTCTGGGAGTTGAAGTCCAGTCATCTTAAAGTTGCCCTGTTTGAGAAACACTGCTCCCGATAATAATTCCCAACATTCCAGCTTGTTCATTGTACTGGCCAGGAATTCTGGGAGATGTCACCTCCACATATTTGGAAGGGTTGACAGTCGTCTTTTGGAGGTGGGTGAGAAAGTCAATTTCTATACTCCAAAGAGTTTCATGTCAGAAGAAAGTTTTTTTGGCAGTAATCAAAATGATCTTCCTCCTTTTTTCCTTCCTTCCTTCCTTCCTTCCCTCCCTCCTTCCTTCCTTTTCTCATCCTTCCTTTTTCTATCTCTCTGATCCTTCCTTCCTTCCTTCCTTCCTTCCTCCTCCCTCCCTCCTTCCCTCCTCCCTCCTTCCTTCCGTTTCTCATCCTTCCTTCTCTCTCTGATCCTCTCCTTCCTCCTTCCTTCCTTCCTTCCTTCCTTCCTTCCTTCCTCCCTCCCTTCCCTCCCTCCTCCCTCCCTCCTTTTCTCATCCTCTTTCTATCTCTCTGATCCTCCCTCCTCCTTCCTTCCTCCTTCCCTTTCTCATCCTTCCTTCTTCTATCTCTCTGATCCTCCCCCCTCCTCCTTCCTTCCCTTTCTTTCTCATCCTTCTCTTCTATCTCTCTGATCCATCCATCCTTCCCTCCTCCCTCCTCCCTCCCCTCCCTCCTTCCTTTTCTCATCCTTCCTTCTTCTATCTCTCTGATCCTCCTTCTCCCCCCTCCCTCCTCCTTCCTTCCTTCCTTTTCTCATCCTTCCTTCTTCTATATCTCTGATCCTTTCTTCCTTCCTTTTTTTCCTTCCTCCCTCCCTCTCTCCTTCCTTTTCTCATCCTTCCTTCTTCTGACTCTCTTATCCTTCCTTCCTTCCTCCCTCCCTCCTCCCTTCCTTCCTTTTCTCATCCTTCCTTCTTCTATCTCTGATCCACCCACCCATCCTTCCTTCCTCCCTCCCTCCCTCCCTCCCCCCCTTTTTTTGTACCCATCATTGGTTCCTGTCCGACGACCAGCTTCCATTTTGGATGACCAGACTGTGTGTGGCCGTGGGGAGCGACTTGCCTTAGCTTTGGCCCGTGAACATATCAACAGCATCATTGAAGTGCCCGCCAAGGCCCGGGTGGAGGTGGAGATCTTCGAACTGCAGCGGGACAGCCAGTACGAGACCACCGACACCAGTACGTTGGGTGCCCCTCAAGCAGGGCATGGATAGTCTTCTCAACTCATGAGACCAGGAAGCCGAGAAGGTGGAGCTTCTTGAAGTTAAGGAGGGACCACTGTAAGGAGCCATATCCGTTATAATAAAAAAGAATGAAAAGAAGGACTAGGGGAGACATGATAGCAGTCTTCCAATATCTCAGGGGCTGCCACAAAGAAGAGGGAGTCAAGCTCTTCTCCAGAGCACCTGAGGGCAGGGCAGGAAGCAATGGATGGAAACTAATCAACCTAGAACTAAGGAGAAATTTCATGACCATTAGATCAATTAATCAGTGGAACAACTTGCCTCCAGAAGTTATGGCTGTTCCAACACTGGAGGTTTTTAAGAAGATTGGACAGCCCTTTGTCTGAAATGGTGTAGGGTTTCCTGCCTAAGTGGTAGGTTGGACTAGAAGACCTCCAAGGTCCCTTCCAACTCTGTCATTCTATTCTAAAGTATTAATAATATGTTGAGCTGGCTCTGTCCATCCATTGAAGTGGGCTTAACTGTACAAAACCCACATCAGGATTGCAACTGTGTGTTGTGTTGAACCTTCAGTTGGAAAGTCCTGCTTGTAAGAACAGCATCCTTATCTCTAGGGTCTATGGGTGATGAACCTCTGGGTTCTCCATTGCATGACTGGGCCTACAAGAAACATTTTGTCACGAGAGGGTGGAGCCATGTCAAAAACAAGAAGGTTTCCTCCTTGCCACAGAGCTTACGAATCTGGGCAGGTGTGGCCCTCAGGGCCCTTCCCTAAAAGAGCCTCCGAAAGCCAGGATCAACGTTTGAATCCTTGGAAGGCCAGTCTAGGCCTTTTGATGAAGATCAGAGGCAGTGTGGTGGAATGTGGTCTGGATTCCCCAGAAGGGAGGGCTGCGTTCAAGACCAAGGTTCCCCAACCTTGGGCTGTGGACCAGTCTATGGCCTGTTAGGAACCCGGCTGCACAGCTGGAGGCGAGCAGTGGGTGGAGGTGAGTGGTGGGGTGAATGAACCCTACTGTAAACTGAACATGTGTGGGATCTAGGTTGCGTTCTCCTCCTCCCCCACATCCCGAGTCCGTGGAAAAATTGTCTTCCACGACACCGGTCCCTGATGCTAAAAAGTTTGGGGACCGCTGTTCCAGAAGACCAAGAGACAGCAAACTTTAGACCAGGGGTGTCGAACAGAGGTGGGTTTAAGCAGGTTCTGACCAGTTCTGGAGAACCGGTAGTGGAAATTTTGAGTAGTTTGGAGAACCGGTAGTAAAAATTCTGACTGGCCCCGCCTGCATTTATTCTCTGCCTTCCAAGTCCTAGCTGATTGGGAGGAAATGGGGATTTTGCAGTAACCTTCCCCTGGAGTGGGGAGGGAATGGAGATTTTAGAGTATCCTTCCCCTGGAGTGGGGTGGGAATGGAGATTTTAGAGTATCCTTCCCCTGGAGTGGGGTGGGAATGGAGATTTTACAGTATCCTTCCCCTGCCACGCCCACCAAGCCACACCCACAGAACCGGTAGTAAAAAAAATTGAAACCCACCACTGGTGTCGAAGCTTGGCAACTTTTAAGGTCTGTGGACTTCAACTCCCAGAATTCTGGGGAATTCTGGGAGTTGAAGTCCACAGGTCTTATACAGCTGCCAAGTTTGTACACCCTCTGGTTTAGATAGTTTAGTTGAGAGGAAGAGAGTCAAGACGACTCATCCCCAGAAATTCTCAAAGCATATTTTGAATGCTTCAAGCAGTTTCCTTTAGTGGGGCAAGGTTTCTGTCTGCAGGAAAGGATCAATAATGGAAACTGCTTAGAAGTAACTCTTGTCTTTCTTTCTTGCTTTTTTTTTTTTTTTTGGAGCCTGACAGGTAGCGAGACTAGAATAAGGATTTCTCCCCCCCCCCCACTAACTTCTAGACTTCCGAACTCCAGTCTTTTTATACTTTTATACTATTCTGCCAAATGATTGGCAGAAAGTAAAAAAGAGAAGTCGTACAATAGAAGCTTGCAAAGGCTATAATTTTGCCCAGCGCAGCAAGGTTGGATTGTGCAAAATGAAGGGTTTTTTGGTTTTTTCCCCCCTAACCTTCTTCCCCCCTTCTCTTTTTCATGCAGTGTGTCAGATTCTGCCCAAAGGGGTAGTCTCAGTTCTGGGACCAGCCTCCAGCCCAGCCTCTGCTTCCATCGTCAGCCACATTTGTGGAGAAAAAGAGGTAAGTGGACTCTAACTCATCACCATCCCTTATATTTTTGGCATCTTCTAGCATTTAGAAGATGGAGATACGGAGATACGGAAGATCCCGGATCTGCGCACCTTCCGTCGCGCTCTCAAGACTTTTTATTCCATCAAGCCGGCCTGGCCTAAATTTTTCCCCTTTAAAATGTAAATTTTAATTTGTTTTTAAAATTATTGGGTGTTTTTAATTTGTCTCGGCCAAATTGTTTAATTCGGTTTTATTCTGTTTTTAAATTTTGTATTTATGTGTTTTATTCTGTGGCTGTTCACCGCCCTGAGTCCTTCGGGAGTAGGGCGGTATTCAAATCCAATAAAAGAGAAAGAGAAAGATTTAGCAATAGCAATAGCATTTACACTTATATACTGCTTTACAGGGCTTCACAGCCCTCTCTAAGCGGTTTACAGAGTCAGCCTCTTGCCCCTCCAACCATATGCGTCCTCATTTTACTGACCTCAGAAGAAGGCAAGGTTGAGTCAACCTTGAGTTGTCAGGATCGAACTGCTGACAGTGGGCAGAATTAGCCTGCAATGCTGCATTCTAGCCACTGCATCACCATGGAGGGAGGGAGGGAGGGAGGGAAGGAAGGAAGGAAAATAGCAATAGTACCACTTTAAAGTGCTTTAAAATAGAATAGAATAGATTTTTTTTTAAAATTTGATTTATATGCCGCCCTTCTCCGGAGACTCAGGGCAGCTTACAGTGCGTTAAGCAATAGCCTTCATACTTTTGTATATTTATACAAAGTCAGCTTATTGCCCCCACAATCCGGGTCCTCATTTTACCTACCTTAGAAAGAATGGAAGACTGAGTCAACCTTGAGCTTGGTGAGATTTGAACTTGCAGTAATTGCAGGCAGCAGATGTAAGTGGATGTTAATAACAGTGCTTTAGTCTGCTGAGCCACCAGAGCTCCATTTTATTGGCCAAGTGTGATTGGACACACAAGGAATTTGTCTTGGTGCATACGCTCTCGGAGTACATAAAAGAAAAGATACATTCATCAAGAATCATAAGGTACAACACTTAATGATAGTCATAGGGAACAAATAAGCAATCAAATCATATTAGGAAACAGTCAATATAAATCTTAAGGATACCAGTCATACAGTGGGAGGAGATGGGTGATAGGAACGATGAGAAGATTAATAGTAATGCAGATTTAGTAACTAGTTTGACAGTGTTGAGGGAATTATTTGTTTAGCAGAGTGATGGCGTTCGGGGAAAAACTGTCCTTGTGTCTAGTTGTTCTGGTGTGCAGTGCTCTATAGCGTCGTTTTGAGGGTAGGAGTTGAAACAATTTATGTCCAGGATGCGAGGGGTCTGTAAATATTTTCCCAGCCCTCTTTTTGACTCGTGCAGTATACAGGTCCTCCATGGAAGGCAGGTTGGTAGGAATTGTTTTTTCTGCAGTTCTAATTATCCTCTGAAGTCTGTGTCTGTCTTGTTGGGTTGCAGAACCAAACCATGGTCAAGAAACGCCAACAATGTCCTTCTCTCTCCCCTAGATCCCCCATGTTAAGGTGGGTCCTGAGGAAACGCCGAAATTGCAATACCTGCGCTTTGCTTCGGTCAGCCTCTACCCCAGCAACGAGGATGTCAGCCTGGCTGTGTCTTGTATCCTGAAGTCCTTCAACTACCCCTCGGCGAGCCTCATCTGCGCCAAGGCCGAATGTAAGGAAGACAGTTGTGCTCTTTGGCAAGGAAGAAAGTTTTGGGGTGCCTGGCGTAGGGTGGGTGTTTGTGTGTGTGTGTGTGATGTTATCCATGTACCTTTAGTTTATTGAGAAAGGGAGCCAGGATTTACATCTACCTGAATGAACATCAGGTCCTTTTGACAGAATCTTGCCAAGAACTCGGTTGGGTAGCTGTATTGCACAGTGGGTAGAGAAAGCTCCTACTTCAACATGACGTGGACAAAATAAGCTCTGCTAGCCAGGGGTGGGTTCTAAATTTTTTTACTACCGGTTCTGTGGGCGTGGCTTATTTTGTGGGTGTGGCTTGGAGGTCATGTGACTAGCTGGGCGTGGCTAGCTGGTCAGAGTCATTTCTGGAAGGTCCTCGCACTTACGACCAGTCCTCGCACTTACGACCCGACTCATTTGTTTGCTTTTAACACTGATCAGCTGTAGGGCGGCCCTTTGAAGCCCCGCGGCAAGAGTTTAAACAGTTTTTTTCCCTCTAGTCATCAGCTGGGACTCAGGAGGCAGCAATAGATTGGGGGTGGGGCCAAATAAAAGGTAAGAATAACGTGGGTGGGTGGGGGGTGGGAGGGCGGGGGGGGAGAACCGGTTCGGTGACGTCATATCGTCACCGCTACCGGCTCGGCCGAACCGGACCGAACTGGGAGGAACCCACCACTGATGCTAGCCCTTGAGCTCCAAAAACAAAACATCTGATCAAGGACAAGTGCAGTCCATTTCCAAAAGCTAGCACAAACCCTGATTCTGCTGTTGACTTGATGTCATCAGTGCTTGGCAGTAGAGGAAAAATTGCAAGGGAGGGCCGAGGAAGAAAGCAGACAGTAAATTTGAAACAAGCATGGAGATTTGGAATTTTTCTCTCTGAGTGATTTTAAGTGTGGGGGTGCTTCTGCGTTCCCCGGAAACTAACTGGATAAGATCTTCTTTCTTTCCTCTGAGTTTAAGCTGAGCATAAAATAGGGAAAGCTGCTTTCAGAGGTAGTCAGCCATGGTTACTAGCATCTCCCCCCCCCCAAGCAACTTGGCCTTTGTGGTTGATGGGAATTGCAATCTGAAGAGTACCTGCTTGAAAAGGCTGAGCTACAGGTAGTTAAATCTGCATTCAAAATCAAAGTCGCTAAATTAACAAACCTTTGCAAGTTAAGAACATGCAAATCCCAACGGCTGCCGAGGTCGGGGTGAGCAGAGATTACGCCTATTAAAATTATAGCAGGCAGGAGAGTGAGAGTATAGTGTTAATAATACCAGTCCTTCAGATCAAATCGGAGCAATTTTATGCAGGACTGCAGTCGTGAAAATTGCGCCCCTCCGTTCAGCCTGCTGGGCTGCTGATAATTATCAACACCTCCCTGTGACTGTAATCTTGGATTTGGGGAGGTGGTGGGGGAAAGCAGACATGTTAAATGCAAAAATTCAATTTAGTATTATGTCTCGTCGTCTCTCGCCTGGGGCGAACGGGTTCGAAGAGCAACGTTCCTTGCCTCAAAACCCTCCACCAAACCCTCTTGGGAAGATCAGGCCCTCGTCTTGTTTTCGTGTCTTCCAAAAAGCAGAGGTCAAAAGAGCTTTGATTCCGCGAACAGACTCAGAGATATGAAATCACGTTTTGTTTTGTGTGCAGAAGCGTTTATGTTCTGATTGAATGTGTCTTGGGGGGGCCAAGTGGGAAGCCTTAAAGCCAGACCACAGGACTGGAGTCTCTGGCTTGGAGACAAGGTTGGCGTAACCTCCCATTCCTTTCTCTTACCCATCAGGCCTGTTGAGACTGGAGGAGTTAGTCCGCCAGTTCCTCATCTCCAAGGAAACCCTCTCGATCCGGATGTTGGATGACACCAATGATCCCACACCGCTGCTCAAGGAGATCCGAGACGACAAGATCTCCACCATTATTATCGATGCCAATGCTTCCATCTCTTACCTCATCCTGAAGAAGGTGAGAGGGGGCTGAACTGAAGTAGAAACACAAATGTGTTTGGGGTGTTGGCCATCGAGGGCAGAGTAAGCAACTCAGTTTACACCGGGATGTTCCGTTCGATGGGTCTTTGGCAGTAGTGAAATCCAATTTTTTTTTACTACCGGTTCTGTGGGCGTGGCTTGGTGGGCATGGTGTGGCTTGGTGGGCATGGCTTGGTGGGCGTGGCAGGAGAAGGATACTGCAAAATCTCCATTCCCTCCTCACTCCTGGGGGAAGGATATTGCAAAATCTCCATTCCCACCCCATCCAGGGGAAGGATACTGCAAAATCCCCATTCCATTCTCACTCCTGGGGGAAGGATATTGCAAAATCTCCATTCCCTCCTCATTCTTGGGAGAAGGATATTGCTAAATCTCCATTCCCATCCCACTCCAGGGGAAGGATGCTGCAAAATTAGTTAGTTTTTAATTGTACAGCTTTGGGGTTTTAAATTGGGGGCCGATTGATTTAATTTATTTTAGCTATCTTAACTTTTATATTGTATGTATTTTAATTTCGGCTGTTCACCGCCCTGAGTCCCTAGGGGAAGAAGGGCGGTATATAAATTCAAATATAAATAAATAAAATCCCCATTCCGTCCTCACTCTTGGGGGAAGGATATTGCTAAATCTCCATTCCCACCCCACTCTGGGGCCAGCCAGAGATGGCATTTGCCGGTTCTCCGAACTGCTCAAAAATTCCGCTACCGGTTCTCCAGAATTCTGGGAGCTGAAGTCTACAGGTTTACCTTGGATCACATTGAATGAAGAGGAATTGTCTGGGGCTGCATATAAATATATATAATATAGTTAATGTATCTAAATAACAAGTTTTGTTTTAAAATATTTTTATTATATTTGGTTGGGCCACACGAGTTGAAGGTTGGCCAGGCCTGGTATAAACCTTAGTAGGACCAAAGCATAAATATTTTTGTACCTATTTGGGATCACCTGAAATTACCTAAAAATCTTACTCACCTGCTTATTTTGAAAACAGCTGGAAATGATTGTAAGTCAGGCAGCTTGTGACCTGCCCGGTTTTAGAACCCACCAATCATCCATTTCAAATTTCTGAAAAACTCAGCCAGTTTTCTGGTGTTCTCAGCAAGCATAGCATGTTGTCAAGCAACTGAGATGCTCCCGTTGTTGATTCTCCTGAACTGTCTGTTTTTTTTCTCCAGGCTTCAGAGTTGGGGATGACATCTGCCTTCTACAAGTACATCCTGACAACTATGGTTAGTATCCTGACCAAACTGAGCTTGTACACAACAGAGTCTCCGTTTATGGGTATACAATCCTCTTTTTTAAGAGTCTCTTAAAAAAAAAAAATCCTTGCTTGATGCTTATTTTTCACTGCTCCCTCCATATTAAGACGGTGCATTGCCCATATTAAAATTTAAGAGTGCGTAGGTTTTACCTCTCAGCAACTCCTTAAAGCAGCTGCCTCTTTTTCTAGAATCTTCCCAGGAAAAGACATAGTTGCTTTAAGGAGTTGAAGACGGATGCGCTGTTCGTGCCCGGCGTGTTCCTAAGCACCTTTGGGAATTGCATTTGAAGCGTTGCGTAGTTCTACTTAGCATTGCAAAACGACAACTCTAAAAAGGTTTCCAGGACTCATAGCTTCAGGGCAGCATGTCAGAGGAGAATGTAGAAGCTCTGGCCAGCTTGCAGCCAAGGCGGTTATAAGTAGACGGAGACAACCAACGCAAATTGTGATGTGTGGACAAATGCGCAGGTGCTTGATGCAGTGTAGAAGGGACACTGTACTGCTTAAATACCTTATTTAAGTTATTAATTTAATATAAATAAAACCTGATTTCCAATCTAATCAGCAAAACAGAGGAATGTAAAGTCCATTTTTTAAAAAAACAAAACAAAAATCAAAATCAAAGTCTGTTCTTACTGATTTTTCTTTCCTGGCTGTTCCAGATTTGCATGCCTTTTCCAAAGACAAGTTTTTTAAAAAATCCCTGAAAACGAAAATAATACGACTTTGTAATCTTTTACATTTACCTTATAAACGTGGTTACATTTCAGGGATAAGGATTGGCTTTTTAAATCTGCATTGACAGATAGCACTAGTCTATTAATAGAATGTAATTGCATTTATGACTTTATAGGGTTGTATTAATTTATCTCTCTCTTTATTTCTGTGTCTAATTTAGTGTTTCTTAACCTTGGCAACTTGGAAGACGGGTGGACTTCAACTCCCAGAATTCCTCAGACAGCTGGCTGGGGAATTCTGGGGCTTGAAGTCCACACGTCTTCCAAGTTGTCAAGGTTAAGAAACACTGGATTAATGTTATGTTCTGAAAGACAGTTGACGCTTTTTGATGAGTGGATGAATGTAACAGATTACAAATCAGATTACAAATATCCCTTCTTTGCAATGTCTTTATAGCTCATTTTGATTCTTTGCTTCTCTTTGAGATGCAGAGTGGGCCAAAGCTAAAAATGATGCAACCAAAATGCAGGCTTTTAATAAATTTTTAAAAAAATGCTTTATGACTTCAATCCCGCGTGGATTAATTAACAGGGAGCAAAAATGATCCACCACGGCAGGTGAACCGTGATTACTCTGATGTGGGATCATCCACCCTCCAGAAAGGCGGGTGGGCAGATTGAAGAAATGTGTGGGATGGTGACAGAAACAATGCCTGTTTTAACTTAGGCTTATATTTAAATCTAATTGCAGTTAAATTAAATATAACTATTTTAATGACTCCCACACTCAAATAATAGACCTTTGGTTTTATATCTCCTTAAGTCTGGAGAACCCCAGTTAAAAGTCTGTAATTTTTCCCTAGGTCCCGTTACAAAGAAAAAAGCAATTCAGTCTTTCAAGCTTTTTCAAATGTTTTTCAAATGCTTATCTCCCTTTTTAATTCCCCCCCCTTTTTTCCAACGTAAAAAATGATGGTGGATTTGTTGGAACAAAATTCTCAAAAGCGTCATCTTTGACTTCATACCTGACTGTGATTTGCACAATATAAACTGACATGGATCATCATTTTATTTTAAAAAGTGTATATATTCCCCGAATGCTTATGTGGTCAGGATGTGTCTGCCTGAGACACTTCCACTTGCCAGGTGATAAATTATAGATGGATTAAATTTTATATCGAGACTGGATGCCATTGATGTCATGTAAAATCAAAGCGTTCCGTTTGTTTTTTTATTACATTTTTGCCAGAATTCTGAGCCGCTGATGGATGTGTTCAGGGGAAGGAACCAGGGGTTTATCTTTATTTATGCCATTTATCTCCCTCTCATTCTGGAGAGCCTCCAGATGGTTTATTTACTTTATTGTTTCCCAATCATTTTGCTTTTCTGTTTCTTCCTTCCTGGAGTGATCCCAACGAATCAGGAATCGTGAAATAAATCTACAGGGGATCCTTGCCTTGCAACCACATTGGGGCCAGAATTTCCGTGGTTTAAACAAGTCGCTTGTTAAGAGTCAAACCCAAATTTTACAATCTTTTTGCCATGGTTATTAAGTGAATCATGCGGTCGTTAAGTGAATCTGGCTTCCCCCTTTGATTTTTGCTTGTCAGAAGCCAGCTGGGAAGGTCACAAGTGGCAATCATATGACCCTCGGACTCTGCAATTGTTGTAAATACTATGTTTCCCCAAAAATAAGACAAGGTCTTATATTAATTTTTGCTCCAAAAGATGCATTAGGACTTATTTTCTGGTTAGGTCTTATTTTGGGGGAAATACGGTACTAAAGACATCCATCTGCTGACAATCTTAACTGGGGCTTATTTTACGAGCATCCTGAAAAATCATGCTAGGACTTATTTTCTGGTTGGGTCTTATTTTCGGGGAAACAGGGTACATACTGGTTGCCAAGCACCCAAATTTGTATCACATAACTGGGGGGGATGCTGCAACGGTCGTAAGTGTGAGGACTTGTCGTAAGTCACTTTTTTTCAGTGTTGTTGTGACTTTGAACGGTCACTAAACGAAGGGTTGTAAGTTGAGGATTACCTGTAAGGACATCATTTAGTTTACTTTATTGTCATTGCACCTCGTACAACGAAATTAAATGCCATCTTCAGTGTACATTATACATAAAAAAAATAAAACAAAAAGACACATCCTTCACATTCTATGCAATTGTATTGAAAACCCCTGCTATTGCATTAATCTTGCACTATACAGTAGAATTCAATATACTGTATTTTTCAGAGTATAAGACACACTTCCCCCACCTCCCCTAAACGAGGGTGAAAATTTGGGTGCATCTTATACACCAAATATAGACCTGCCCAGCCGCTGGCCCCCAGAAAATGGGGCGCACGGAGGTGGCAATAGGCTATGGCAATCCCTGCAGCCTGAAACAGCTGGTCTTCGGGAAGGCCGATCCAACCAACAATCAGCTGCTTGTGCTAATCAGGCTGTGCTGAAGCTGAAATTGAAACGGGCTGTTTGCTGCAAGGAGGCAAATTGCTGGGAGGCAGAGGCAGATTTTTCTTTCTTGTTTTCCTCCCCAAAAAACGTAGGTGCGTCTCATAGTCCGGAGTGTCTTATATTCCAAAAAATATGGTAATTACTGCTCTGGGGTAGAAGTTGTTTTTCAGTCTATTTGTCCTTGTCTTTATTGTCCTGTACCATCTGCCAGATGGTAATAGTTCAAAAAAAAAAAAAAAAAAAACAGGTGCCCAGAATGAGATGGATCTTTAAGAATGTTTTAAACTTTCTGGTGTTGATCTCTAGGTGCCCTTTCGTGTTTCTCCTTCCTGTTCCTTGGCAGTCTCTCTTCTATAAGCCTTTGCCTAGGTTGACCTCGGTTGACCTTTTTGAATGTATGTTAAAGAGGAAGGTTCAGTCCACTAATATGTTCACCATCCTTCCAGGATTTTCCAATCTTGCACTTGGATGGAATTGTGGACGAACATTCCAATGTCTTGGGCTTCTCCATGTTCAACACCACACATCCTTTCTACATGGAATTTGTCCGCAGCCTCAACATGTCATGGCGAGAGAACTGTGAAGTCAATCCTTACCCAGGACCGGCGGTAAGTGTGACAACCCAGCATGAGGAAGGAGAGATGACTATACGGGTGCATCTGTGTGGAGGATTATCTAGCTCAGGGGTGTTAAACTCAAGGCCCGCAATCAGATTTGGCCCACAGGGCCGCCCTGGAAACAGTGAAGGATCAGCCTGCGATGCTTCTGCCAGCAAAAATGGGGCTCGGGAGGCTGCGATGGCCTTCTGCAACCTTCTGCCAGTGAAAAGGGAGCTCGGGAGGGCTGCACACGGCTCTCCCGAGCTCCGTTTCTGCTGGCAGAGCACTTGGGACACCGCAGGCGCCCCAACACAACTGACGTTGAGCTGGCCACACCCACCCTGGCCACACCCACCCATCCCCCAAGGTCAAACACAACCGTGATGCAGCCCTCAATGAAATCGAGTTTCACTCCCCTGATCTAGCTGAATAAGGAAGGACCACAGGATTTGGAAAGATTTGCTAGTCCTTAGCTTACAAATGGAGCTACAGACTAGCAATCACAGAATCATAATATTCCAGACTTGGCGACTTTAAGACTTGTGATATTTGATGTTGGGTTTGAGGAAAGATGGATTGTTGGGTTGAGGAATGAAGGATGTTGGGTTGAGGAAGGATGGGTTTTCGGCTTGAGGAACCAAAGGATGTTGGATTGAGGAAAGATAGATCGTTGGTTTGAGGAACAAAAGATGTTGGGTTGAGGAAAGATGGGTTTTTGGCTTGAGGAACGAAGGATGTTAGGTTGAGGAAAGACGGATTGTTGGTTGAGGAACGAAAGATGTTGGGTTGAGGAAGGATGGGTTTTCGGCTTGAGGAACGAAGGATGTTGGTTGAGGAAGGATGGATTGTCAGCTTGAGGAATGAAGGATGTGGGTTGAGGAAAGATGAATTGTTGGGTTGAGGAACAAAAGATGTTGGGTTGAGGAAGGATGGGTTTTCGGCTTGAGGAACGAAGGATGTTGGGTTGAGGAAGGAATGGATTGTCATCTTGAGAATGAAGGATGTTGGGTTGAGGAAAGATGAATTGTTGGGTTGAGGAACGAAGGCTATGGGTTGAGGACAGATGGATTATTGAGCTGACAACAAAGGATGTTGGGTTGAAGAACACAGCTGAAGTCATCCGAGAAGACATGGATTCTTAACTGCAGAGTTTCCTAACTGCTTCTAACTAAAATTATTTCTGTTCGGCTGAGCTTCAGGATAAACAGTCCTCCACTGTTGACTTGTAGAGATTGTTCAAGATCAGGTTGACTTCATCCTGGTGGAGCACATCCACGCTCACTATCTGACTCACCCAATCCGCCTCCCGTTCTGCAGAAGCACAGATGTTTTAGCGTGGTAGCCAAAGGAAGAATAGCTCTGGAAGAAAAGGGTAGCAAGGAGGTGCCTTTATCTGGACCCCTCCCTCCCACCAAATGCCATAATTAACAGCAGCTGAATTATTTTTGTTCCCCTCCAGCTATCAGCAGCTCTCATGTTTGACGCAGTACACGTGGTTGTGAGTGCCGTGCGGGAATTGAACCGTAGCCAGGAGATTGGGGTTAAGCCCCTGGCTTGCACATCAGCTAACATCTGGCAACATGGAACCAGCCTGATGAACTACCTGCGCATGGTGAGAGGCTGCTTCTCCTAGAATGACAGCTCCCTCCCCCTTTTTTTTTTAAAGCAAAACAAAAACATGGAAATATGTGACATGGTTGTGTAAGCGTTGATGTCTGTCTTGTTAGATTTGCCCAAACGAAGGTCAGATGTTCTCAGTTGGAGCAAATACGTCAATTGCCCGCAGGTTCCCTAAGAGATATGTGGCCACTGACTTTTCTGCTCTTGCCAACAATGGATGGAAAATTTATCCAGTGAAGTGGATGTGCACAATTCAGTCACCAGAAATAAAACTATCCAAATTAAGCATTTGGGGTGAATCTGGCTGCCAATTTTGTTAACTGTGTTGTCTAAACGCAGCCAAAATGGGAGGGTGCCTGTCAGAGTCCTCCCCTCCCTTTTCAAGGAAAAAAACAACAACAGTCAAAGGCTTATTTTACTACCACGTTTCTGTGGCACAATTTAGCACAGTGGTCTCCAAATATGGGCACTTTGAGATTTGTGGACTTCAACTCCCAGAATTCCTCAGCCAGCCATTCCTCAGCCAGCCGGACTATCCAGTGTCCTAGGTCAGTGATCTCCAAACATGGACACTTTTTGTGGACTTCAACTCCCAGAATTCCTCAGCCAGCCAGATCATCCAATGTCCTAGGTCATGGCTGGCTGAGGAATTCTGGGAGTTGAAGTTATCAGAATATTCATGACTGGGAAGACATGGTAACAAGGTCAGCCAATGAATAGACATAGCAACTGGGTCAGCCAATGAGAGCTGTTTGGAAACAGAAACTTAAGCAAGAAGTCTGGGCGTGGCTTCGGTATTAAGCTCTGAACTCTGAATTAGTCTGTCTGCTGAATTGGAACTAAAACTACTCTGCTTGTGTTTTTTCTTGTAACTGCTACGTTGGAAGAATCTGCTATTGGTGTTGTACATTTATCTTCATGTGTTATTATGTATATAAAGAAGTTAATGAATCCTGCTGCATCAGTCTGCCTGTGCGTGCTTTCTGGATGTTTGATTTCTGCAACAAACTCTGACAGACGTCCACAAGTCTTAAAGTGCCTGTGTTTTGGAGACCATTGAAACTAGGACATGGGATAATCCCCTTCCTTATTTGGGCGATGAAGAGATCCAGAGTTCTCCCTTCTCCCTGTAATTTACAACTTGTGAGCCAGTTTTGGCTGTGCCTCACTCTCATTCTCCTGTGTTTTTCTCTCTGTCTTCTTCAATTTGCACCCCATTCCTCTGTCTCTCCATCCCTGGCTAGGTAGAGTATGACGGGCTGACGGGACACGTGGAATTCAACAGCAAGGGTCAAAGAACCAATTATACCCTGAGAATTCTGGAAAAAGGACGACATGGACACCGGGAGGTAAGAGGACTAGATTTTGAGTTTAGAATGCCCTGTTTGTGCAAAGATTACAGATAGTCCTCGACTTAACAACCATTTGTTTAGTTGCTGTTCAAAATTACAACGGCACTGGAAAAAAAGAGATACTGTCAGGTGTGCTTCCTTCAAAGTCCAGGAAAGAATGACCCAAACTCCATTGTTTATAGAGAAAGGTACTTTTACTAGAAAATGAAGTGACTTAGTGACTTTCACACTTAGGACCTTTGCAACATGCCCATGGTCACGTGATCGAAATTTGGACGCTTGGCAACTGTCTCACATTTATGACGTTTGCAGTGTCCCGGGGTCACGTGATCCCCTTCTGCGACCTTCTGACAAGCAAAGTCAATGGGGGAACCAGATTCACTTAATAACGGTGTTAGACACTTGGCAACCGCCGTGGTTCACTTCCTTGCCACGACGGTGGGATTGGATGAGACTCACTTAACAGCTCTCTGGCTTAGCGACTGAAATGTTTGACTCAATTGTGGTCGTAAGTCGAGGACTGCCTGTGTACAGGATAAATCTAGCAAGAAACCTATAACTCCGGGCTTCTTTCTCAACAGATTGGGGTGTGGTACTCTAACAAGACCCTTGCAATGAATGCCACAACGTTGGATATCAATGCCGCAGAGAGCCTGGTCAATAAGACGCTAGTGATCACCACCATCTTGGTAAGTGCCCTCCTCCTTGTCTTCTTCTTAGTGGCATTTCTTCATCTTTTGAAAAGCAGGCTTGAAATGGTTGTGCAGGTGACTTGGTTAAAGTCAACCAAGGATGCAAAGGATGACTGGGAGCCCTTGGAGTTGTGAACACAAGGGAATGGTAGCTTGTTTAAGTGTTCCATGTGTGAAAGAGAGGGTCCTACTGTCAAGCCTGAATTTTACTTGGGTATGGGATTTGTAATGGGTGGCATTACTTGGAGCCTGACACCTACAGCAAAAATTTCCTCTTTCCTGTTTGGTGGTTCCTTGATTCATTCACAGACCCCTTCGAAGATGATTGTGAAAGGTGAATAACAGAGTTGGAAGGGCCCTTGGAGATCTTCTAGTGTGCAACCCCCCACTCAGGCAGGAAAACCCTATACCAGTGATGGCTAACCTTTTTGTCATCATGTGCCAGGAGTGGGGGAGGGAGGGGGTGGTGTGCACGCATGCCCACATCCATAATTCTATGCGCCCCGACCCTGCACATATGCATGCAACCCCCCCCATGCTCTCCCCCCAGCTCCTGGCACGCAATGGCCTGATAGGCCCGTTTTTCTCTCTCACCAGGCTCCAGAGCCTTTCTAGGAGTCTGGGGAGGGCAAAATGGCCTTCCCCACCCCCACCAGAGGCCTTCCGGAGGTTGGAAATGGCCCATTTGCCAACTTCCGGTGGGGCCAGAAGGCCCATTTTTTGCTGTCCCCAAGCTCCAGAGCCTTTCTAGGAGTCTGGGGAGGGTGAAAACGGCCTTCCCCATCCCCCTGGAGGCCAGAAACGGCCTGTTTGCCAACTTCCAGTGGGACCATCACGGCTCTATACCATTCCAGACAAATGGTTGTCCAATCTCTTCTTAAAAACTTGGAGCGCCCACAACTCCTGAAGGCAAATTATTCCACTGGTTAATTGTTCTCACCGTTAATATATTTTGCCTTAGTTCTTCTCTCCTTGATTAGTTTCCATCCGTTGCTTCTTGTCCTGCCCTCAGGTGCTTTGGAGAATAGCTTGACTCCCTCTTCTTTGGGGCAGCCCCTGAGATATTGGAAGACTGCTATCATGTCACCCCTAGTCCTTCTTTTCATTAAACTTGACAACATCATCATCATCATCATCATCATCATCATCATCATCATCATCATCATCATCATCATCATTATTATTATTATTATTATTTATTGAATTTATATCCCACCCTTCTCCCCGAAGGGACTCAGGGCAGTGAACAGCCGAAAATTAAAATAACATACAATATAAAAGTTAAGATAACTAAAAATAAATTAAATTAATCGGCCTCCCAATTTAAAACCCCAAGCTATACAATTAAAAAACTAACCCATAAAACCTATTCAGGCCAGGCCGGCTTGCTGAAATAAAAACGTCTTCATACCCAATTCTTTTTTTTTTTTTTTATTTTAATTTGATTTATATGCCGCCCTTCTCCGAAGACTCAGGGCGGCTTACAATGCGCTAAGCAATAGCCTTCATCCTTTTGTATATTTATACAAAGTCAGCTTATTGCCCCCCACAAACTGGGTCCTCATTTCACCTACCTTAGAAAGGATGGAAGGCTGAGTCAACCTTGAGCCTTGGCGAGATTCGAACCCTGCAGTAATTGCAGGCAGCTGGTCTTAATAAGCTTAATAACAGGGTGCCTTAAACCCCTGTACTACCAAGGCTCTTTTGGTAGTACAATTCTTGAAGTTGTTGTTCATATATTTTAGCCTCCGGTCCCCTAATCATCTTTGTTGCTCTTCTCTGCACTTTTTCTAGAGTCTCCACATCTTTTTACATAGTGGCATACCTCCCTTTACATAGCGAAGACTTCCTCCATATCAGTTTGGAGTTAGTTCTTCACTTCCAAGAAAATAGTTGAAACCGCTGCTCGAAATGGTTAAACTCCTCCGGCTCATCTTAGGGATGGTGAAAATGGGATGGTGGTTTTGATGGGTAAACAATAATTAATGTTTGGCATGTACTTCCCTACAATGGACTGATGACAAGTGTGCTTCAGTTGAGGAGGAAGAAGAAAAAAAAAGAATTAGGCAAATTAATGAAGAGCCGTGATTGCGATTGTGATTTTCATGCACAAAAGAGGTGCCCGTCCTTCTGCGTATGAGTGGGTACAGAGAAACAAAAGGCGCAGATTGTTGGGTTGTTATGATGTGCTGTTGTTGAACCTCTGTAGGGATGGGGCTGGTTCCTCTAACCCTTCGTCAGAATAGAGGCAGGGAGCAAGGCGCTCTTGAGCTAATTTCAGAAGTGCTCTGTAAGTGGTCAGGACAGATTTCTGGGGGAAAACTATGGCTCCTTCTCTAGCAGGCTGATGAATGGGAAGGGAAAGAGAGAAACAGAGGAAGAGGGAAGGGATGGGAAAGAAGGAATAATAATCCCATCCTCTCATGGCCATTAGATAGCATCTGACCGATAGCTCAGAGAGTCAGCTTGGCCTAGTGATTAAGGTGCTGGCCTATAAACCAGGAGACAGTGAGTTCTAGTCCTGCCTTAGACATGAAAGCCGGCTGGGTGACTTTGGGCCAATCATCAGGAGACTTTGAGTTCTAGTCCCGCCTTAGGCATGAAAGCTGCTGGGTGACTATGGGCCAATCACCGGGAGACTGGGAATTCTAGTCCCGCCTTAGACATAAAAGCCAACTGGGTGTCTTTGGGCCAGTCACACACTCTCAACCCAACCACCTCACAGGGTTGTTGTGGGGAAAATAGGAAGAAGGAGGAATATTATGTATGTTTGGGTTTGGGGTTCTCCTATCAAAAATATGTCATATCTTGAGGACGGTTGCCTTTTATCTACTAGCTCAAGGGTCTTCACACTTGGTAACTTTAAGATTTCTGGACTTCAACTCCCAGAATTCCCCAGCCAGCACATGCTAAGGGAAAGGGAAAGGGAAAGGGAAAGGTTCCCCTCGCACATATGTACTAGTTGTTCCCGACTCTAGGGGGCGGTGCTCAACTCTGTTTCAAAGCTGAAGAACCAGCGCTGTCCGAAGACGTCTCTGTGGTCATGTGGCCGCCATGACTAAATGCCAAAGGCGCACGGAACCCTTTTCCCGTCCTACCAAAGATGGTCCCTATTTTTCTATTTGCATTTTTTACCTGCTTTCGAACTGCTAGGTTGGCAGAAGCTGGGACAAGTAATGGGAGCTCGCCCCGTTACGCGGCACTAGGGATTTGAACCGCTGAACTGCCAACCTTTCGATCAACAAGCTCAGCGTTTTAGCCACTGAGCTACCCTACCTCATATTATATCTTGGCTTACAGGAGAACCCCTACGTGATGCGTCGGGCAAACTTCCAGGAACTGTCCGGTCCAGCACAGTATGAAGGCTTCTGCGTGGACATGCTTCACGAGCTTGCCGACATCCTTAAGTTCCGTTTCCAGATCAAACTGGTGGATGATGGGCTTTACGGGGCTCCTGAACCTAATGGGTCTTGGACCGGCATGGTGGGAGAACTCATTAACAGGGTAAGGCTGTTAGGAATAGCCCAGCCTTCTTATGTTTTTTTTCTCCCCTACAAAAATTTCCATTAACCAGACAGATCTTAACAGTGAAATTGTATGTGGAAAGCATGCAGAAGTTGGTTTTAGGAACTAGGCTTGGAATCTTACTAGAAGACAGGGGTGGGCTTCAAAAATTTTAGCAAGGGGTTAGAAAAGATGATAGGAAGACATGTAGATTTTAAACCTGAATTGTTTTTATTAGGCGTAATATCAGAAAAACTTGATAAGAAAAGTATGTAATATTTATTTTATTTATTAGTCATATTTCTATGCTGCCCACTCTCCGAGGACTCTGGGCGGCTTACCCCAAAGACAGTATACTAAATAGCATATTGCCCCCAACAATCTGGGTCCTCATTTTACCCACCTCGGAAGGATGGAAGGTTGAGTCAACCTTGAGCCGGTGAGATTTGATCCACTGATCGGCTGAACTATCAGTCAGCTGAAGTAGCTGCAGTACTGCACTCTAACCACTGCGCCACCTCGGCTCTCTATATTATTATAATATTACATATCTTAGCAGCGAGGATTGTTTTCGCGCAATGTTGGAAAAATGAAGATGTACCACGAGACGAAGAAATAGTCAAGAAGATGCTAACTAGATTGTGAAGAAGTGGATAGATTGACACTGAAAATGAAACAGAAAGAGGATGCAGAATATTATCAATCATATTATTACATATATAATATCAAAAATATTATTCATTTTACCAATGATTGGAAAAAAGGGGTGGAGACTAAGAATGTAATATGCATTGTTAAGCAAATGAAATACCCAGACAACACGATGTTTATTAAGCACTAAGAAACGCATTTGATAGAAAATCAATATAAAGAAAGGAAGCTCTGTGCAGCCACAGAAAAACGGTAAATAAAGAGACGGCAGAAGAGAGACCGTGGGTCAGATCTGATAACAGCTCCCTGCAGATAGAAAGCTATTTTGCTAGCAGGCTTGGCTATGATATTTTCTCAATGATGAAGAGCTGATGCTGGTTTGTTGTTTGCTTTTTGCTTTTATCCCAAAAGAGAGAAACAAAAAAATGGCATCTCTGCTTCTAAGACCTGAATGGGTTAGACCACAATTAAACATTTGTTTGTGGGTGCACTTAGCAAAGTGCATGGAAAGGCTGTCTACAAAATGACTCACAATTACTCAGAGCCAGATCTGGATTCAAATATTTGGATAAGAAAGCAGCAAGGAGATATTTTCTTGTTGTCTCTCCCTTTGCCAGTTTTGTAGTGGTTTTTGAGGTTTCTGCAAGCAAGATCTGGTAGCTCAGATCAATCATCCTCTTTTAACGACCCCCATAATCCCTTGTGGGGTGGAGTCTGGGCAACTGAACGGAGCTGAGTGTTTACTGGCTAGATGCCCTCCCTGTCGCCAATGCAGAGTTATTTTTTTTCAGCAGATATATATCCTCAGTGTGCCCAGGGAGAGAAATATCTGCCTTTACCTAGGATCGAACTCACAGCCTCCTGATTGTGGGGCGAGAGCTCCGCCTCTAGGCCACCGCACCTGGTACCTCAGATCAATGGAGTTAAAATAATCAAAGGATTTACAGATAATCCTTGACTTACAATATTCATTTAGTGGCTGTTCAGATTACAATGACGCCCTAAAAAGCTAAGTATGACTGTTTGTCACATGACTGTTGCAGCATCCATTTTACGCCCTTTCTTGTCACAGTTGTTAAGTGAATCACTGCCGTTGGTAAGTTAGTGATACAGTTGTTAAGTGAGCCTGGCTTCCTCATTGACTTTGGCTTGTCTGGAGGTCGCAAAAGGTGATCGCATAACCCCGGGGCACTGCAAGCGTCATAACTATGAGTCAATTGCCAAACATGTGAATTATGATGAACGGACGTAAGTGTGAAGTAAGGAGATAAGTCACTTTTTTTCAGTGCCGTTGTAACTTCGAACAGTCACTAAACGAACTGTCGTAAGTCGAGGACAATCTGTAGTCTTTGCTTGAGTTCCAACCAAGAGTGGGCTGCTGGGGGTTCGCAGGGGTTCGGGAGAACCTCTAGCTAAGATTCTGTGCAGTTCGGAGAACCCCCAAATCCCACTCCTGACTGGCCCTTCCCCACTCCTCCCCTCCCAGGAGTCCCCACGTGGCCCGTTTTGGATGCAGGTAAGTGCAGAGTGTGCACGGAGGTTCAGGGAGGGTGAAAAACGGGCCTACCCGAGGTTTTGGAAAGGCCGGAAACACACCCTTTTTCGGCCTCCAGAGGGCCTCCGGGGCCTGGGGAGGCTGTTTTTGCCCTCCCAGAGGCTCGAATAAAGCCTCCGGAGACCGGAGAGGGTAAAAACACACCTCCCCTGCCATGGTGCAGGTGGCCGACTAGGCCACGCCCACCATGGCCACGCCCACCCAGCAACCGGGCAGAGAACCCCTTGCTAAAATTTTTGAAGCCCATCCCTGCTTCCAACCAGCCAATGAAAATGTAGAGAGCAGCAGGCGTCACTCGGTGGACGTGACAGTGACGTTCCCTGTGCTTTGTTTTTCCAGAAAGCCGATCTGGCGGTGGCTGCCTTCACCATCACAGCTGAACGGGAGAAGGTCATCGACTTCTCCAAGCCTTTCATGACTTTGGGAATCAGCATCCTGTACCGTGTACACCTGGTAGGCACAACTCCGTCTTCAAGTGGAGGGAAGGAGAGATCGTTAGTTCTACCGGGACAAGACGTTGTTGTCAGGTTTCGATGTCATCTCAAATAAATTGCACTCCCAAACAATTAATCGTTGCTGAAATATTCCATTTATTGAGTACGACAGATGTGGCCCCGACTTTGTCGTAGCCGATACTAACCCTCTGACCCCCAAACCCTTCCCTTTCCGTTCCCCAATTCTCATCTTCTCATTGGCCATCTTCCAAGTCAGTCTCCCCAGCTTCTGACCACACCCCACAGGAATGTTCCCCCCCACATCCCATCTCCTAGGGGATATTATCTACAGAGAAAATAAGTAGGTGAAAAGTCAAGTCTCATCTTTTTATGGCAGCATCAGAATGCTGACATTTGTAACGAAATTGCACCTAGTAAATATAATGCTGCATTTATAATGCAGGACTTTCCTCAGCTTGGAAACTTCCAGATGTATGGAACGCAACTCCTAGAATTCCCCAATCAGCCCGGAATTCTGAATTCTGAAATGAAGTCCAGCCATAGAGAACCAGTTTGGTGCAGTGACTAAGGACACTGGACTAGAAACCAAGGCACTGGGAGTTCTAGTCCTGGCTTGGACACCAAATTAATGGGGTGACTTTGGGCCAGTCACTCTCTCAACCTTAGGAAGAAGGCAATTGCAAATTATTTCCAAAATCCCCCCTCCCAAATCCCAAAACAGTGCCAGGACTTTGGAGGTACACACCAGGGGTGAAATGCTACCGGTTCAGATCGGTTCAGCCGAACCGGTAACGATGGCGGCGGGTGGTTCGGAGAACCGGTAGCAATGGCAGTGCTAGGCTCTGCCCAACCGCCCGGTTGTCATTACTTCCTGAGAAAGAGAGAGAGAGAGAAAGGGAGAGAGGGAGAAGGGAGAGAGAGAGAGAGAAAGGGAGAGGGAGAGAAAAAAGGGGAGAGAGAGAGGGGGAGAGAAAGGGAGAGAGAGAGGGAGAGGGAGAGAGAGAAGGAGAGAGAGGGGGAGAGAGAAAGGGAGAGGGAGATAGAGAGGGAGAGAAAAAGGAAGAGAGAGGGAGAGAGAAAGGGAGAGAAAGAGAGGAAGAGATCCACACATCTGGAAGTTGGTACGTTTGGGGAAAACGTATTGAATGCAACACACTCTTTGGAACGATGCTTGATATTAGGAAATTCAGAAATGCTTCAGTGAACCTATTCTAATCTTTTTTTTTTCCTCATAGGGACGCAAACCGGGGTATTTTTCCTTCCTTGACCCCTTTTCCCCAGCAGTTTGGCTTTTCATGCTTCTTGCCTATCTCGCAGTTAGCTGCGTCCTCTTTCTCGCTGCTCGGTAAGTCCTACCTATGAGAGATTCATCCTAGACTTAAGGCAGAGGTGGGCTACTGCCGGTTCGGATCGGTTCGAGCGAACCGGTAGTTGCGACCCACGAATGCGCCCACCCACCCGCCCCAGTGCGCAAGTTGTTCCACTGATTAATTGTTCTCACTGTCAGGAAATTTCTCCTTAGTTCTAAGTTGCTTCTCTCCTTGATTAGTTTCCACCCATTGCTTCTTGTCCTGCCCTCAGGTGCTTTGGAGAATAGCTTGACTCCCTCTTCTTTGTGGCAGCCCCTGAGATATATGAGATAAATGAGATAAATGTTTCTTCCTTCCACAGGCTAAGCCCTTACGAATGGTACAACCCTCATCCTTGTCTCCGGGAGCGTCATAACATCCTGGAAAACCAGTACACGCTGGGAAACAGCCTCTGGTTCCCAGTCGGGGGTTTCATGCAACAGGGATCAGAAATTATGCCCCGAGCTCTTTCTACCCGTTGTGTCAGTGGTGTCTGGTAAGGAACTGTATGATTAACAACCAAGCCGACTTGGAGAGAGAAATTGTGCAGAGGAAAGCTGCGCAACTTTTTCCCCACCCACCGAAAAGACGGCATGGCGTACAGGCAGTCCTCGACTTACGACCACGATTGAGCCCAACATTACTGTTGCTAAGTGAAACATTTGTTGAGGGAGTTTGGCTCCATTTTACGACCTTTCTAGCCACAGTTGCTAAGCCAACCACTGCCGTTGTTAAGTTAGTCACATGATTGTTAAGTGAAGCTGGTCAGAAGGTCGCTTCTAGGCTCCCTTAAAGAGCAGGAAGCAGAGACTTGGTCCCGGCAAAACCCCTTTTATTTACATGACGGTGAATTCCTTTCATTCACAGTCAGCAAGGGCTATCCAAACAGTTTTTCAAAAGAATATTTATCAACACAGGCCTTATCTCGCTTGGAAGGCTGCCAGGTAACTAGTTTCCAAAGGTAGTACAAGGCAAAACTCGGCACTGAGTCTCTCAGAGTCACAGAATGAAGGAATTGTTTCCTGCAAAAGCCCCCTCCCCGTTCCCTCCTCTTTTGTTTCCTATGGGAGGGGCCAATCACCTCCAAGGTGTGGCTTTACTCCCAAGTAAACCCTGCTTTCTAAGTTGTTCTTGTCTTCTGGGAGCTCTGCGCATGCGCACACTCATGGGACGGGCTCCAGCTATTCCTCTGCCTCGCTGCTGTCTAGCTCCCTCTCTGCCTCCGATGCAGAGCCCTCGTCCGAGCTTTCCCCAGCCCCCACGACTGGCTCATATTCCTTCCCAACCTCCTCACTGTCCGATTCCGCTGCCAGCTCTGCTGGCGGGCAACAACACTCGCAAAAGAGATCACATAATCCCAGGACGCTGCTTGTCAGGGAGGTCGTCAAAGGTGGGATCACGTAACCTTGGCAGGGACGCTGCAACCGTCATAAATGCAAGTCCATTGCCAAGCATCTGAATTTTGATGACGTGACCATAGGGATAGTGTCATAAGTGTGAAAAACTTAAGTCACATTTTCCAGTGCTGTTGTAACGTTGAATGGTCACTAAGCAAACCGTTGTAAGTTGAGGACTGCCTGTATTTAATTTGCAACAGGTTTGGAAAAATCACAACCACCTTATCTTCTATCTACTTTGAAATATTTTGATGTCTAGGGAGGATGATGGTGATGATTGTTGTTGTTTTTCCCCAATCTGGAACACTGTCACCTCTTAAATGCATCATGCCAGCACCTACAGATTTCAACATTTTTTTAAAAGAATACTAATGAGGTTTGCAATCCTTAATTGGTAGCTTAATTGGCACTAAAACTTTAGCTGATTAATCAGTGGGGAGCATTTTTAATTGGTGAGAACAACACTTCATCTGTGGGATGGTACATTAAGGGCATATTGGTTTTGGCATGTTGATGCAATAGGCAATAATTTTTCTTTTTTTAAATGATGATTTCTAAGAAGGAATATTGGTATATATCGGAGTGTAGCTTGTCGTGTCTTTCCTTTAAAAATCTCAATAACGTTTACCGATTTATAATTATAAGTTTTAGCGACGTCCAACTTTGAGTTATCCGTTAGGAGCAGATTATGGGCCACAATTGAACCCAAAATTTCTGTTGCTAAGCGAGTCAATGGTTAATAATAAATAAATAAATAAATAAATAAATAAATAATAATTAATAAATCAAATAAATCAAATAAATAAATAAATAAAACTGAGCTTTGCCCCATTTGATGACCTTCCTTGCCACCATTGTTAAGTGAATCACTGCAATTGTTAAGTTAGTCACACGGTTGTTAAGTGAATCTGGAAAGATTTGCGACCGCAATCTTAGGAGGCACATCTAAAGAGGTGGCCTGCCAAAACTTGTTCATGAATTAAAAGTTGGAGATGAAAAGTAGAGATTTTTTTTCCTTGTCTTTATCTAAAAAAAATTAAAAAATCAAACTGGGTTTCGTTGTTGTGATAAAGGTGGGCCTTCACGCTGATCATCATCTCCTCCTACACGGCAAACCTTGCGGCCTTCCTCACCGTGCAGCGCATGGAGGTGCCGATAGAATCGGCGGATGACTTGGCCGACCAAACCAACATTGAATACGGCACTATCCATGCCGGTTCTACCATGACCTTTTTCCAGGTGAGTGTCATTTTCTCTTTTTCCTTGCACAGCTGGGGCTGCTGAGAGCTGTCTCCTCTAAACCCCTCCCATCGTAGGTGACGGAGGCTACCGGGTGGCTGGACATGGCAGAGTTTTTGTAGTTTCGAAGACGTGAAAAATTGCAATAAAATAAAATAAATAAAATAAAAACTGATGTTGACTACTGTAATAGCTCTCCACTGCCTCCATGTGTCAGTTCTGAAGGCCATCCTTGTACACCTCTGTGGTGTTTTGATGAGGGCATTGCTTTCTGCTTGATTGTTTGTCTGGTATTCATTCCTTCTTATCTGGGTGTAGGCTGCCAGAGAGGGTGCGTTCTGGACTTTTTTTGTTTGTTTGTTTCTTTCTTTGGTTGTTTATGGTCTCTTTCGAATGGTGTGCAAAGGTGGTGTATCTCTATGTGTCTGTTAATGGCTGATTTGCCTGAATGACAAGTTTCCAGGAATTTCCTAATGGTTTTGGGATTTTTGCTTGGTCTAGGAAGCTCATACTTTCCCAGTTGAAATAATGGTTGAGTCTGTCTATTGACCAGTCTTCTCTTC